AAGACCATTGCTAGCAAAATAGCTTATAATGCTGTGGTAAAAATATTCTAATTTTCCCAGAGCCTCCTAAATCTGTATCCTACTAGTCATTTCAAAATGGGTTCAATGTCTCTTTTAGTATAACAGGGGTCATAGAAAGCTTTTCAGCATCTAGAAAATTATATGTGTCTTAGAAAATTCTCATGAAAGAACTAAAAGGGTCTGTATTTGCCTGTGTCATTTTGTCATTCTATCTTTAATCAAGTAATTTTCTTATGTAATGGTCTACATTTCGTGGTATGAATAGGTTGAAAGGGTATAAAACCAAGTAACAATTTTCTTATGAAGAGTAAATACTAGCTCATCAACATTTGCTAAGCCTATCAAATACCACTCTGCTGCCTTAACACCCGAAGTGAAATGTGTAGCCGTTCTGTCAATAAAGGAAATCATAGTTAAGCGACTAAAGTTCAGTGCAGGCACAGTCTCCAAATTCTATTAAGTTTGATGGACGCTAGAGTATTAAAAATACATGATCTAATCTGTGTGTGTGTGTGTGTGTGTGTGTGTGTGTGTACAGACAGATGGGATTTTAGACTTGGCAGGAACCTTAGAAATCCACTGCTCTACCTCATTTATAGCTAAGACACCCAGAGCCCAGAGAGCTGAAATGAACTTCTCAAAGTTGCAGGGCAACTCCTGACCCCATTCTTCATACTCCTCTTTTCATATTTAGCTGTTACTCTGCAGCATCCCTGTCTTCTGAGTCTCTCATAACAATACCTATTTCACTTCATATTATCCTTTGGAAGAGGAATGAACCTGCTTTGACAAGTGCTATGATTAGGATGTGGTTTGTAACTCAAGCATTCTTGTGTTGGAGGCGTGGTTCCCAGTTGTATTAAGAAATGCCGGGACCTTTAAAAGGTGGAACCTAGCAGAAGCTAGTTAGGTCATTAGAGACATGCCCTTGGAAAGGTTTAATGCTCGTGTCTTGAAGGGAGTTCATTCCCTTATGAATTTTTATAAAAGAGCAAAGCTGGTCCCCAAATCTCTCTGGCTTTCTTTCTCACCATGTGATCTATCCTCTAGCACACACTCCCACAGTTATTCCATCTGCCATGTTGTGATGTAGCCAAAAGGCCTTCATCTGAGCCAGCAGATTCAGGTTCCAAGGTCTTGGACATTCAAAACTGTGAGCTAAATAGGCCTCTTTTTCTTTACAAAGAACCCCGCCTCAGGCATTTTGTTATAGAAATAGAAAATGGACTAATACAACAACAAAATGCTACATAAATGTACTACATTCTTGTTTTTATTTTTTAAACCTATAGTGTAGGTTATAGTTGCTTTCAAAGCTGGCCTACTTCTAAATAAATTAGATGTCAGCAAATTAATAGAATCCATTCTACACTGAACTCTGAAAATATCTTTATATTCCAGACTTAAAAGACCAGTGAGTTGATTCTTTTTTTATAAAGCAGAATCTCATTGTGTTAAAAATAGTGTGCTTAAAAACAATTTGATTTTTAAAATGTCTTACTATTTTTGTCTCATTGAAAGCTTCTCTCTAAATTTCATTTATAAAATCATTGCTTGCTAATTCTTTTCTTTTTCTCAATAAGTGTTGTTTTCTATTAAAAGCACAATAAATCTTACCTTCCTCATTTTACTTGTGTATTTTTTAAACCCTCAAATGAAGGACACTATTCTTAAGACACAGTATGTCCCTGTAATCCAACATGAGTTCACATTTATAAATGGGTAGGCTGGGACAGAGTTCACTTGATAAATGTTGCACCGAATGATCCTCATAGTTGAAAGCATTAAGTCATAAAGACAGTTACTCCTCCCATCCTCACAGCAACCTTATAAAATACATGTTATTGCTGTCCCTCAGATGAGAACTGAGGCACAGAGAGGTGAAATTACTTGCCCAGGCAACTCATTTGGAGGTAGTAGAGCCAGAACTCGAGCCTCAGTAGTCTAGCTTCTGGCATCCTTGTGCCCCACCTACCACGATCGTCTCCTGAGTGAGTGATTTTGCCTTTTCTGACAGTGCTTACCTACAAATGGATCAGATTATCTGAACAGTCCCTTCCTACAAAATGCCCTTCAATCTTAAATATCTGCATTTTGAAAGTTTTGGAGGAAAGACATCAGTACTTAATACTTTATCCTGATGTCTAATAGAGACAGAGTTCACTGAGAAACAGAATGAGGAAACAGGGGAACATTACACCGATGATGGGTTTTGGAGCCAAGTGGATCCAAGTTGCAATCCTGCTTTTATGGTTTGTAATCCATACAACCTTGAGCCTCCCCTGCTTAAATATCCTATTTCTAACATTTTAAAAAAAAGGAAGATTAATAACAGCTCTCTCTTGAGTGCTTGTTGCAATAAATGACCATAATTTACATAGACTCTGCCATCCAGCACCTGGCCTGTGGTCACAGGCAGTGGTGTTGTTGGCGTTGGTACTGTTATCATAGGGCCAGGTGTCCTCAATCAGCAGGCGCTGGCTTTGCACTTGCTGGGAGCCCCATTGGACTGCAGGTCACAATCTGGGTTTCTGTTGAAAGAGATGACAGGAGATCCAGGAGAGTGGGTGGAGAAATTAATTTTCAAAGCAGCCACCACAAAGAAATGCCCGGGGCTCTTGATGTCAACGAAAGCAGGAAGGCTGCTGCTGGGTCAGCTAAATTGTGGGTTTCAAGCTTGCACTTGGGGCCACCTAAAAGAAGCTCATGATGGATGGTTTTATTTTCTCCAAGTTTCACCTTCCTTATATATAAAGTGAGGATGCCATGATGCCTGCCTTCCAGGGATGGTTGAGATAGTGCCTGGAGGAGCCCTGGCACCTAATGTGCAGCCAGCTAACATGCCTGTTATTAATGAGGTTACTTCCTCCCTCTTCACCCAAGCAAGAATGGGGCTTTTGGGTCTCAGTTTCGCCTGGCAATCTCAGCTCCAGTAATCCCATAAACATTTTATCTGGGGCATAAAGTACACACATAATCACACTTGGCCCCAAAATGATTCTGTGATAATGTGATTAATAACGAGTTCTTGGACGGTAATAGTGTTTTAAGGTGCTTCTGTGGACTTGTAAATTTCATTGGCTTCAGTGCTTATGAAAGTGAGACTGACAGCTCATTACCCAGGGCAGCAAACAGCACAATTTGCCTGTGTTGATGTTCCAAGTTCCCTAAATAGCTTTGTGTCTCAGGTCAAAACTTCACATTTGCCAGTGTCTCACTGCCAGTAACCCAGGCTGGGAGAGAGGGTGACTTGTGTGTTCTTGCTTCTAATTGCTGAGATATGAACACACTTGACTAGGAATTAGGGGAAATGTCACACAGTCACCCATGATCCTGAAACTACTGTGCTGATATAGGGTTCATGTCATTGTCCCCACCTCCCGGTGTATCTGTGTTAACTTTTATCCTCTCTAAAGCTCTTTCCCATGAATTGTGTCATTTGATCCTTGAAAAAGCCTAGGGAAAAGGCACAGGAGATTTCATTTCTATTTTCTAGTTAGGAAAATCCAGACCCAGAAAGGAAAACGGTTTCGGGTTTCGCTTCTGATTGGCATGGACAGAACTTATGAACCTAAATCTTGTGTGCTCAAACCCTTTCTCCATGACTGCATATAGCAGTTGACCTTTGCCCTTAGCTGTCTGGGACAAAATAGCATTGCCTTGTATTCAGATCTGGTTGTGCCTTTCAGGGTGAGCTATACAAACACATACCCATTTGTGACTGTTTGAGGATGTTCAGAGTTCTGGAATCCACTATATTCAGAAAGTTTGAAGAGAGGCGATTTGGGTATGCAACAACTTTAGCTGTGCCAGAGCATAGCATGTTCCCCTTAGATCTGGTCAGGGTTCATCCAGCTTCTGGGGGCCTGTACCAGAATCTTCTGTATGTGTGGAGTTGCTGTGCATCCACATGGTAGGCACCAGGGCTCTCCCCAACCTAAAGTCTCTTCTCTTCACTCCACTTCGACCCTTCCCCCTTCTCTCTTGGACTTCCAATGCCTGAAATTTCACCATCCTGGGCCTTGAGGACTAATTGGTCTTTAGAGATTCCAAATAAAATAAAAACACTTACACTATATGTAACAGCATATATATTTGTTTGGGGTGGGTTGGATCACAAAGCCTAGTTCCTTGAGCTCTGCAGTGTTCTTGTGAGTAGTAAGGGACCTTACAAAGACCAAATGAGGTGTCATATGCATTAAAGGGCTATGAAAGTATAAGCTTGGCAGGTGACACAGATCCAGGGAGGGGCTTGGGCTCTGGTTTGAGGAGGAGGAGGAGGAGGAGGAGGTGGGAGGTGTCCAGACCTAGAGCCCAGGGCACTGAATCTGACCTGAAAAAGCTTACCAGGGGTGGGCTCATATGCAATTTTGACTGATTGCAAGGCTGGACCCAATGCAGCCTTCGCAGCCATTTTGTTTGCTCTGACCTCCAGCCATCTGTGCCTGGGAATGTAAAACAAATGGTTAATGGCATCAGATGGTTAATGATCACAAATGTCCCCTCCTCACTGCCATAAGAGGAAAAAGAGCCCCCTGGAAACACAATCACGGATGCTATTTCCAAAGTTGGAATTAATTGTGTATTCAAGAAAGCCCATCTTCTGCCAGTCATTCTGTTAAGAAAGGGGAAATTAAGGGTGATGGAGGCACTATGCCCAAGGGGACAACTGGAATAATCTCTATAAGGTCAAAAAGGCACATACAGGGCTCATATTCGACATAGTCTTGAAACAAAGCCATAAGTTCTGTGTCCTGGAGCTGATGTTCTTTAGAAAAAAATATATGCTGAAGTGTAGGTCTGCCAATCTGACCTTAAACTTCTTTGTTTTATGAGGGCTAGCCTTTGATTGCCTTTTTAAAATCCCTTCTGTCCATGGCCGCTTAAGTAAAGATGCTGTCCTTGTCTCTCTTTGGGGAACCTGCCTGTGGTTGTTTCACTGTTCTAAAACTTCCTCATTTCCCATCTCCTTCCTCTAGCTAGTGAGACCTGCAATGACTTCCACCCGATGTTCTTCACCCACGACAGATCCTTTGAGGAGTTTTTCTGCATCTGTATCCAGCTCCTGAATAAGACATGGAAGGAAATGAGGGCAACTTCTGAAGACTTCAACAAGGTAAAGTGGGTCTTGGGCAGAGGAAGGGGCTCCCCATCTTGTTAGAGGGGCATCATCCTCAACCTATAGTATGGTCTCTCAGCTGTCTGGAGAAGGTGGTGGGCAAGGCAAGAGAAAGAAGAAGACTGCAGCTTTGGGTTGCTGCAACAATGAAAGCAACCTCTGGGTATAAGCAGATTTGTCCCTTTTGTCCAAGTCAGAGTCCCCTGGTAGAGACCCTTTCTTTTCAACTTTGTCAAGGTGAACTTATCACTTTGTGGCTTTAGTTTGGGATGTCTTGTCAATACTATAAAATTAATGGGGAGGGTGCCCTTCCTCCACCTGTTGAGTAGACAAGCACAGAGCCAATCGGATCAGGAAGACAGCCTTGTCTTAGCCATTTGTCTCTTTGTGGATTATGGAGGTGTTGAGATCATCTGCCCTGTGCTTTGTTAAAAAGAATTTTTATTATGGGCTGGGGATGTGGCTCAAGAAGTAGCGCTCTTGCCTGGCTTGCGTGCAGCTCGGGTTCGATCCTCAGCACCACATACAAACAAAGATGTTGTGTCCACTGAAAACTGAAAAATAAATAT